CTGTAATCTCTTTTCTTGTTCTTCTTGCTTCTTTGCTGTTCTTGTATTGTTGCCATCAAATCTGCTAAGCTGTAGTTTGATTGGCCACTTCCTGTTTTCATCTTCTTATTTTTTCAATCCCACTTCTGACACGAATTTGTTACATCTCTGTTTGTTTGTTAATTACCTGTAAAAATTCTTTCGGAAAAACTTCAGCAATACAAGTTCTTTCTTAAATAAAACTAGTTTATTCCCTCTCAATACAACTTTGCAATACACTTAATTTCCACAGTCAGTTTAACTTAAACACACGCTATAATTGACAATGATTCACGCACTTGACTCAATTATCCGTCTCTGTCTGTCTGCAATTATCTATATCTATTCATTGTCTGGCGCACTTATATACAAGAATAGAGGGCGCCTATCAAATACTGGATTTGATGTTCCTTGATCTTTCTAGAACTCATTACATGTTACCAGAGTCACGTGACTTCCGCTGTCGTAACACTATGTTATTAACTTCGGATCATTTAAGTACTTCAAAAACTAAAAGGTTCTGTCACTATGCCTCTCTAGACTTGAAGATAAAATCGTAGTATACTATTATAATTTTAGGTTTAAAATTCAAGTTATTTTGCTTCTGGTATCGTTTCAAACGAAACTATTATCGTAGAACTAGGTGAAATGGAAAAGCATCTAAAGTGTAAAGCAATGTAACATCTACTAAACACAGTAATGTTACAGTTTTAGTTTAATTCGTCATTCTATATAAGAACTATATGTTTCAAACAACAGTGACCTGTGTCCACCATTTTAAAAGTTAAGTTGCGATTCCAGACAACTTTTTCATGGCCTTTGGAGTTAGCTGAATGACCAGAACTCCGTAGCTGATAACAGCCCCGAGAACAGTCAACATAAAGCTTCTAGTGATGATGAAAATGTTCCATGCTGATAGACCAACTACAGAGGAGTTCAGTTGAGTAACTAAAAGTTCTGCTTGAATATTGTATGGGTTGTCGGTAGTTGGATGTATAGAAATTGTATTCTGCAGGCTATTGAGAACATCGTGAGCTTCTTCATTGACACGAGACGATAGAACGGATAATATTATGAAGAAGACAACTATGCACAGATCCGCAAGCCGTAGTAGATTCCACCAGCAAGAGTGGACATTTCCTCAACGTCACTTCTCAACAGGGCTGTGATCTCTACAAAAGCTGGCTATGATCGTTGCGTACCAGATGAAAACTATGCTAGTAAAAAAGTTAATCTAATCTAGCCACAAGTGCTGCTAGTTGCGAATGCAAGATGCGTATCAATTGCAGGTCACTGGTCGAGTGTCATCGGCCACAAAGGTCCGAAACTCATTATTGAAATGCTGAAAATTAAGTCGAAGGGAGGTGCAGATGGACAAGATAAAAAAAAAAGGCTATGAGCAGTATGAGAACTCCCCAGGTAAAGTAATTTCTAAGGTTCCAATCTCTTAGGACTAGCAGGTATGCTGGAATGGACCCACTGACTGTTTGAGAATCGTAATGTTTGTAGATATGAGCTCTAACAAGAGATAAAAAACATACACCCAACGTCAAAATAGAGACTTGCTTTTCCAGTTTTCATGATTTTTCGGGACTTAACAGTTGACTAAAGGATTCCATTTCAGCCACGAGGTCACACATCTTTTTCCGATTGACCAAGTACATGTCGGCCTAGCGGCGATGTTACGATGGACCAAGGTCATGTTTTCCCACAGATGTTGCCAGTGCCAGATGCACACTGCAATCATGTGCAGGGAGTAGATGTAAAGAAAACATACAACCAACCAACCCTGTCCAGATCACGCTGATATACCAACCTAAAGAATCTCTCTTTAGGGCTGTCTGAAGGGAAAGACAAAAGAAGAAGCCGATAAGGTCGAAATTCATACCTTCCTGATTTATCTCCAGTCAACTATTGCTTATGATCCTGACTAGCACGTTTCTTATTTATTTTAGCCCGGTTATGGCTTAACATTCCTCTAA